TTTTCCAGTTGGCTTGAAACCGCTTCGACTTCACTTTCTACGCCAAGTTGTCCAGGATTTCGTTGAAATTTCCGTTTCTGTTTCCTTTTCTTTTCTTTTTTTTTCTTTTTTTTTTTTTTTCCGATAAAACCAAGCGAAACTAGCAGCAAACGGTCGACTTTCGCTTTTTCGTCCAACGAGTACGATCACGAATAAATAGCCACAGTCACGAAAACTCAGGATACGCGTTGTTTCGTTGCGGACCAATGTTCTCCGCAAAGTAAATTCCACTGGATACACAGGATAAACAGGATGGATCGAAATTAGTACTCGGCGAGTTACGATCAATTTTTCTAAAGATAAAAAAAGAATCGTCCCGCGATTTAAATTTTGGGTAAAAAATCGGAAGCGATTCGACGGGTTTCCGAATTTCGGTAGCACCCTGTGTACCGGCCGAGCCTCGAAATTTTCAGTCGCCAAGGAGATGGCACGCGCCGCCACTTATCCACGATACACGCGGTAGGAAAGCCTCGTTTCGTCATCGCGATGAAGATTAATTTTCAACCAGCGCGAACATATTCTCGTCTCGAACGATGCACAAGTATATAATTGTTTCGACACTTCATCGTACACTCGCACCACTTACGCGTGCCACGACCGATACGAGATCGGGAACGTGCCCGTGTACGAAAGACGAACGAATGATATCTCGCGTGGTTACATCGCGTAGGAAGAATTAGACACGGCACACACAACACACGTTCGCTAGGCCCGCCTCTCTCACTTTCCCCCTCCCTTTACGCTCATTTTTTTTCACTCGACAGAGAAGAAAGTGCTATTTCTGCTGCGGGGAAAACCTCTTCCCCGCAGCAAATATGCAGACGAATGGTAATGGAAGCTCGCGCGTCCCAAAAGCGGGTCTAGGAAATAATAATCTAGGAAACCTTTTAACTTTTTTACCTAGGAAATAATAATATGAGAAAAAAGTAACTAAATTACTAGGGAAAATTACTAGCAACTAGCAATATATGTTACACAGAATTAATTCAAATTGTATCTTTGTCGCGTTAAATAATAATAAACGACGTTATCAAGTCAAGTTTAAAATTGAGAAGGAAGAAAAAGTGAGCTCGTTTCGTGATAAAATTGGAAAATTTCGAGAGAATTATCGGCACGACCTTTCAACTTCTTTTCTCGTTTCGGATATTCCCTTCTAACGTTGGGAAACGTTATCTCTAAGACAGTAATGATAGTTATTCTTCGAACATGAGAACGAAATTTTCGTGTTTCGAGAGATGAATAAAATTGTTGCAAGAGCGTAAATATGGATGGAAGAAAGAGAAAATGATAAGAAAAAAATTTAGAGCGATTCGTCGATATATCGATCGATACGTAACGATATATAAAACGATTATCGAGAATGTAGACGAGAATTAACGAGATCCCACTCCCCGTTTCGATTCTTCGATGTTTCGTACGTCTTTATCTCGTTTAACGCAATTATGCTGATGCGTGCAATAATATTAGCATAATTGACCGTAACTCGACTAGTCGCTCCGTAAACGACTGTAGCTCTATCTAAATTTAACACCACGTTAGCCGGCAGGGATTGAATTAATTATGGTAAAGCTCGACAAACGATGAAACGATATAGATTTTCACCATCGATTAAGAATATCATCGCGTAACGTAATTATCATCTTTTTTCGATCTTTTCTCGTTCTAAAAAAGATGGAACGATTGGATTAAATTTATTTTCTCTCCTTTACTTTCGCAAAATTAAAATCATTCAATAAAAATTATAAAAATTCTATATGATTTTTTTTTCAGGTAAAAAAAGAAAAAAACAAATTTCGAGAAATCCCTCTCGAAATTCGGAACGAAAATCGCTCTAGATTTCAATTGAAAGAAAGAAAGTAAAACGAAACAAAAAACAAATCGAAAGATAACG